AGCAGTCTTCCTAAGGACCATTCATTTCCCCCACTTCATCATGGTTCCCTCCTGACACGGGCCACCCCCCACTCAGGGGGATGAAAGTACCAGGACTTGTTTCCTAGCTTTCCTTGCAGCTAGGGTATGCACATGTGAACAACGGTGAGCAAATGCTGATCACTGGGACCATGGAGAAGTCTGCAGGAAGGTTTCAGAGAAGGACGTCCCTTCCTAATGAGAGAAAAATAAAAAAAGACATGTCCTACCTCTGAACAGGCTGTGTCTGTGTGAGGCTGAGTTGCCTGGCACTGCAGGAGCCATCCAGCATCTGCTAGGGGATACATCTGAGGGAAACCAACACCCTGAGGACGGTGAGGCAGAAAGATGGGAAAAGCCAGAGCCCTTGAGGTCATCCCAGAGTCACTGATTTAACCCTGGGACCGCCCTCCCCACATCCTCTGGACATCTTCTTAGTGACATATAAACCTCCTTATTGTTCATGCCACTCTATTGGAGAAAGAATCCCAATGACAGAGATGTCACAAGGCAGAGTGGGACCATGCCAGGCCAATGGAGGACAAAGCAGTCACTGAGGCTGTCTAGCGAGAATAGTGCAAACATTCAAGGGATGCACAGATACCGTGAATGAGAAGGGACCAGGCTGCCTGCCTGCCTGTCCCTCAGGTCACCTTACTAGTTCCAATTCCAGTTCTAAGCCACATGCGATTTATTTTTTAAATAATTCAAGCAAGGCTCTGCTTTGAGGCAGTGCTTCTCAAACTTTAATGTCCATAAGAGTCACCTGGTGATAGTTCAGTGGGTCTAGGGTAGGGGGTCCATATTCTGCACTTTTTTTCTTACAAGCCACCAGGGGATACCAACGCTGCTGGTCCACAGACCACATCTGGGTAGCAAAGGCTTCTAACTAAAAGTGCCAATCTAAAAAGTACCCGTGGATCTGTAACATCATCAACAATAAAAAGAAAAAAGTACCAGTGATTCATGGATGTGGATGTTATTTCCACACAGATAAGACCGACTATGGAATGTGAGTGCACCCGAATTGTAAAACAACTTTTGTCTGCAAGACCTAAAATACAGAGACAGGCTGTCTCTGTGCAAAATCAAAACATTAATATCCAGCCCTGGTATTATGGAATGTTTATATGAACTTCTGACCCCCAGAAAGTACACCATTCATAGGTTGCTGATGGCCATAATTACTCGAAAAGATTTATGAATGCAACGATTTTTAGAAAAATCGTTCCAAAGGAAGGCATTCCCCCAACTATTATAAATAACCCCAAAAGAGATCTACAAATCTGAACACAAGCTGTTTTTGCAATGAATCCTGAAAAAAACAATAACTCTATCAACTGCCTTTGAATTAAAAAAAAATTTTTTTAAGCTTTTCGGATAAATTACAAACATCAGGTCACATAGCACACTAAAAAGCACTGCAGATGAATTAGAGTGAAGCATAGGCTAATTATCAAACCATAAACCTACTGGAGGAAGATAAAGGTATTACTTGACCCGAATGTGAGAAAAGCGTTTCTAAAGACAAAAAGGAAACCAGGAACCCAAACAGGAAAGACTGATAGAGTTTACTACTACAATCCTTTTAAATTCCATGTCTCAAAAAGCCCCACGAAGGACATTTAAAAGCAACATGAGGAAAATAAATGCTGCCAATAAAGCAAAGGGCCAATCATAGAGGTCATTTAAATACACAAGGAAAACACCAACATTCTAATAAAAAAAAAAAGCATAGAATATGAGAAGACCAGGGTAGGGAACACATACTCAGGGACCCAAAGTGATCTCTAGGGTGTGACCAAAGAAAATATTGAAACTATTTTTTAGCCTGTCCTTTAAAAATCTCTACTTTGGGGACTGATTTATAATTTACATACAAAAGGACATTACTGCTTAGGTGAATATGTGTATATGGAGAATGAAACTTTTTTCAGATGGGGTATGAGATCAACATTCAGAGACCATTCAGAACAACAAATACAAAACTAATGAAAAAAATGTTTAACTTTCCTACTAAACAAGCCAATGCAACAATGATAAAAGGAAAGCATTTCCCCTATGAAATTAATAAAGCTGTGCGTATGTGTTTTTTGTTTTTTTTTTAATTTTAGGTATTATTATTGATCAGGATGCACAAAAGCCCCACTAATGAAAATATAAATGAGTACAATCTTTCTAGAAAGTGGTTTGGAAAAATGTATCAAGATATTAATACCTTTGGATTACAGCAACCAGATTTAGCAAACTGCATGGGACATACAGATGATTCATTGCTGGTGTAAAACTCAAATTTAACTGAGCATCCTGTATATTGTCTGTTATCCTTACTTAACTCTGTAATATCTCTTTTAGAACTCTGTGTTTAGGAAATATCTAAAGCTAAAGACAAATATTTCTGGACAAATACATTCTCTGAAGCAATGCCCTATATTAGTGAAATATTGAAAATAATTTTAAAATGTCTATATTAGAGAAACGGTCACAAATTCAGGCACATCATACCAGGTAGAAGCACCGAATTACTGCGCTGTAAAGACTGTTGGGAAGACACTGCAATGGGTCTCTTGGTTCAGTGTGGTAAGGTCCTGAGAGAGCTGAGGCGGGGCATTTAAAATAAACAGGCGCAAAACTGCTCTGCAGCCTAATGCAAGGCTCAGGGAGCCGTGGAGAAGGCTGAGTTACACAGGGACCCAGGCACACAGTGAGAGGCCAGCCCAAGGGCAGAGAGAATAGAGTTGACAAGTGACTCCTGGAGAGGGATTATGGCTGATGGGAATGGGGATATCCACTGTCCAACCCTTGGTTTTAAGTTTTATTTTCTGCATTGGAATAGTCTTCATGTAAGTTCACCATCTCTTGCCCATAATTCTGAAACCCAAAAAAAGCACTTAAACAGTCTTTTTTTTTTTTTTTTTTTTTTTTTTTTTTTTTTTTTTTTAACTTGGTGCCAACTTATTTGACAGCAAAACCTGACCTGAACTGGCAGGAGAATATGTGTGGTCTTTCTTTCTCCCACTTCATGCGGATGCTCACAAGTTTTTCTGAAGAAATGTTCACGTGTTTCTGTCCTGTACCTGCTAGAGACGGTATATATTATATGATATATACGCACTGTCTCACCTTCCTAAAGTTCAATAGTTCTGAGTTCTAAAACACACCTGGATCCAAGGATATCAGACTGAGGACTATGGACCTGTCATAAAATTGTCTTTAACCACTGCACCCTGGGTCGCAGTGGGAGCAGGAACAGAGAGAGGGTTGGTATCTGTGCCTGGGGTAAAGTGGGCACAAGAGATGCAGCTGTTCAGACAGGAGGGCAAAAGATGGCCCATGATGACTGGAGAGAAGCCAGGATCAGCGTCATGGAGCTGATCAGCATTGTGGGGGTACAGTGACAGCAGAGGGCCCCTCATGGAACTCTAGGGAAGCTGAGGGAGAGGAGAGAGAACCAATGACTGAAGCCATGCACCCTGCATCTCCCAACCACGGTTAAACGAATAAATGAGCAACGGGGCTTCTATCTGTGACCATCACAAGCCTGAGAGGACCACCGAGGACTGTCTTCCTTTGGGGAGGAGATGAGGGGCAGGTTTTCAAACCTAAACTATATCATGCCCACGTGAAACCCAACCAGCAACCTCTTCCACCTTCCTCTCCAAGCAGTGTCTGGGTGTATTAGCTTCCTATTGCTGTATTAATAAATTACCACAAACCAAGTGGCTTATAGAAACACACAAGTATTGATTACAGTTCTGAGAGCCAGAAGTCTGAAATGGGTCTCACTGGGCTAAAATCAAGGTGATGGCAGGGCAGTGTTCCTTCTGGAGATTTTAGGGGAGAGTCTACTTTCCCAGCTCCTAGCAGCTGCCTACATTCCTTGGCTCTCCGCCCCCTTTCCATCTTTAAAAGCAACAGCAGATGTGTTGAGTCCTCAAATCACGTCTCTGACACTGACTCTGCCTCCTCCTTCCACTTATGTTTTGGGGTTTATGTTGGGCCCACTTGGATAATCCAGGCTACCTGCCCTATTTAAAACTTAGCTGATTAGCAACCTCGATTACACGTGCTACTTTCTGCTTTGCCATGTAACATACCAAATTCACAGGTCTGGCAATGAGTATGTGGACATTTTTGGGAGGTCATCATTCTCCCCACCACACTGGTGTAGAAATATCCAGAACACCAGGCAGACAGCCGACATAATGGAAATATTGAATAACACATATACTGAATATAATTGTTCAGTGATCGGAGGAAGGCATGGGGATGAGACTACTGACAGAGGCCTCTTGAACAGAAAGCAGGCTAGGGCACCTGGGATGTAACCTGTAACAAACGGTATGGCCTCTGAACAAGGGGGGCTCAACTTCCTGGGTATGTGATTTCCAACGTCAAGTCCCCCTCCTAATTCAGTGCTCCTGTTCCTGCCTTCCTCACTCTATGCATACTTTCCAATTTTGACTCAGATTTGCAGAACGATGGCTTTAGAGGAAGACTGCACCCCAGCCTTCATCCTCCAATTTAATTTAGGTAATCATGTGCTTCCTCGGCTCCCCAAGTTCTGCCCTCCAGCCCTGGAATAACTGCATTCCAGGTCAACCCCTCAGTGGGCTCGCTCCTCACCTGACCCATTCCCAGATGTTACTAGTGTCTTAATGCTGACCCCCCTATTCAGTAAGTGGTCCATGAAATCCTGAGGAGGGACCTTCCACATTTGCTGTTCTCTGGCCTGGCTTCCCTTTCTCAGGCGAGGGGCTGGAGTGCACAGTCAGGCTGACTGTGGTGCTTGAGCAATTTGGCTAGGTTCTACCCTCCTCCTGGGCAGGACCACGCGGTGGGGGTTGACTGCAGCTGGACTGGAAGCAAGAAAAGACTGGAAGGTGGACAGATGAAGTAACATCCCCAGGCGGTGGTGGCGTTCCTTGGACTCCGTGATGATACCCTCAGTGGTTCCCCAGACAGGCCTGGGGCCTACTTACCAAGCTCTCCTCGAACCACTCCTTTATGTAGGCAGCTGTGGGGCCTGGGATCTGGCTCAGGAGCACCGCCCTCTCCTGAGGACGCTCCAGCGTCTGCAGGGCCAGCCGCAGGTCCTCCACGAGATGGAGCACTGGCAAGGGGTTCAAGTAGGAGGCCGGGGAGGCCAGTCCAGGCTCACAGGTACCGTCACCAATATCTGCACCCGTTTTCGTGCCTAAAGCAAGAGAGGCAGGAACCCTGGTAAGTAGAGTGGACACCATGAGAAGGGAAGGGAGTGAAAGGGACGGATAAGAGGGGAAAGGGACGGATAAGAGCCCAGAAGACCACTTCGGCCTCAGCAGAGTCTCTCACAAAGTAAATTCAGCAGAACCCATCCTCAACTCTGGGCTGGGCTGGGCGTGACAGAAAGAGGCCTATCAGAGGTGATGGCTGTGCCCAGGGGGGGCTAACGTATGGACTTTCACACCATCAGTCAATGGGAAAACACAGCCAGCCCTCACCACGGACCCAACACAATGAGATGCAATTCTTCAGCTTTTAGATTACTACTCTTGTTTTTCTTTAAATTAACATGGTAGTCTGCACATATGACTGGCAAAAGTTCCTGCTACCATGGCATGGCATCCCTCATGCTAGGGTGGTGCCTGGCCAGTGACGTGCTGTCATCAGCAGATGCAGCGGGAGGGACGCCGCATCAGGGCTGGCGAGGGGTTAGTGAACTGAGCTTCTTCCTGGATCTCCCCAGTTAGAAAAACTCTTATCTGCTGGCGCCCTTGCATTTTAACCGGTACTGCTTTACTCTGTGTATCCACATCTCATCTCCCCGCCGTGGTCCTGAAGCCTCTGAGGGCAGAGACCCTGTCATATTGGCTGAGTTCCTAGCACGGAGCTCCTGCCCAGTGGGTGTGGAAGGGGAATCGGACTGCATGGCCGCACCTGGGCTTGGACGAATAGCTAGAAGCAGGCGTCTTCAAACTACGGCCCTCGGGCCACATGCGGCCCGCAGAGGAGTCTGATCCGGCCCGCCAGGTTTTTTGGGCAGTGAGCGCAGCTGAGGTGTTACAGTAGGAATTAGTAGTTCATATAGTCCGGCCCTCCAGCTCTCTGAGGGACCGTGATCTGGCCCCCACTTTAAAAAGTTTGAGGACCCCTGAGAGGGACAAGTGCTTAGCCTTCCTTGAGATCAGGGCTGTTGACTCAGCTCTTCCTAATTTGATGTGTTCCACATAGGACTGTTTTTGCCTTTCTAAACCCCATCATTTAATTTTTTTTTTTTTAAAGTCTTTTTGCTTAAGGACATTGATGTATTTTTTCAAAACAAAACTGGGGAGACACAGTCTACTAAAGGATTTCTATGCTGCTTTAGGAAATACTTTAGGAAATATGGTTTAGATGGACGTCAGGCCTGCAGGGTAGCCGTGGATTTGAAATCAGGCCCCGGCCTTCTGTTTGAACCCCTTGCCGGAGCTCCATCTTGTGGAGTTTCTAGGGCATGTGGACTGTTTACAAGGCCAATAGGATAAATTATTTGAAATCAGGCCCCGTCTGGAAAATGTGGGCTGCGGGGCCACCACATTCATGGCTACACTGCAGGCCTGATATCCAATTCCAGGCCCTTTACTCTCCTAAGAGCCAGCCTACTCCTTACCAGGGCAGCTTCTGGAATGAGAAATCCACACAGAAGGAAACAATTACCGTTTGATTACCGGTTTGCTTCCTGAAAGTGCAGGATAGAGAGAACCATGGGTCATAACCCACAAGACCGTGGCTCTGGGGAGCCAGGGAACTGCCTGACCCCCCACGCTCCTGTGTGCACTCAGCACTCTCCTGCTGCTACAGATCCAACTTAGAGTCGATGAGGAGGCCCCAGCCTAAGTTCAGGCCAGAAAACAGACAGAAGCAGAGCAAGACCCCCAATCTCCACACAATTGCTGAGTAACCAACCCCTTTCTGTCCTGGACACACTCCAGCACACACACACACACACACACACACACACACACATCTTTATAAATGTAGGATGAGTCAGGCCAAAAGTAATTGAGAAGACTGAGACTTTCATTAACTTTCAATCACTCTGTGGTCTTGGACAACAGGAAACAAAAGTAAACACACACACATACCTTTATACCAGTAATTACAATAATTATAAGTGCATTGAACTCACTCATTTAAACTCAAAAATTTGAGTAATGGAATAAAAGAATCCCAATTCTTTAATTATGACACTGAATGATTGAACTATAAAGTGGTTCAAAAGTAGAACTAAATTATTCCATACAATGGAGTAGGTATGTTGATTAAACTATTAAAAACAGCTACACACACATAATCACTGGATAAAATGATAAAAATAAATTTAAAAATCATCTAAATAGTATAAAAATGGAGCCATAATTTTTTTTTTAATTTATTTTTTGGTTAATCCTCACCTGAGCATATTTTTCCATTGATTTTTAGAGAGAGTGGAAGGGAAGGGGAGGGACAGAGATACATATGTAATGTATCCTCAGGCTACCTCAGGCACCCTGACCGGGGCTGGGGATTGAGCCCACAACCGAGGTAGAGGCCCTTGACCGGAGTTTAACCTGGGACCTTCCAGCCTAAAAGCTGATGCTCTATCCAGTCCGCAGGCTGGTGCTCTCTCCAAAGTCAAACATGCTAGGGCTGGAGCCATAATTTTAAAATTTTTCCACAGAGGAAATATCAAGCCACATGCTTTTTACAAGTGAGTTCTTCAGGAAGTGAATAATTCTTTCTTGTTCAGGGCAGAAAAGGAGGGAATGCTCCCAGCTCACACAACCAGAAGCACCTGCCCGTGCAGCTTGCGGATTGGCACGTGAACCATGCCCTGGCGCTGGGCACCTGAGCGGCCCTCAGCACTGCAAAGGGAAACCACAGACCTTCCTGTGGTGAACTGGGGTAAACAGACCCTAAACACACACTTCCAAACCCAATCCCACGGTAGGTAAAAAGGATAACACATTGTGATATCACCCCTTGGGAAATGACAGATCCAGCAAAGCCAAAAGGAAGATAAAAAAATAAAGGAGTGAGATATATATATAAACAACAAAGAACAAATAGCAAACTATGTCCAAACAACTAGAGATGGCATGTGATGTTCAAGCACATAGAAAGCAGTTTTCAAAACTGACCATAGACAACCATCAGGAACTGCTGTGAGGAGGACCTATCACTCTTCCCACATGTCCCTGAGAAGGGAGGCCGCATTTGTGGTGCCTCTCTTGGGTCCCCTCATTCGATTTTCCTCAAGGGAGGAACGGCTCCTCTGATGAGAGAGCTGAAAGAAGGAATTCTCTTTGAAGCCACCTGACCCTGGGTGCGAGCATTCTCCTCACGAAGGCTTCCTGAGACCAGTTCTGCCCCAGCAAGGTGGAAGTCTGGAGTTTGGAATTAAGTTTAATTGGGGGAGGGGGTGCTTTTGTGCCGGTAGGATGGGAGGTATTTGAAGTCCTAATGGTGGCTTGAGGCCAAGCTAACCTTCCTAATAAATAAAACTAATAATAAAGCTGATATTTTGTCTCCCTTTCTCTTTTTCTATTCCTACATTGGTTTAAAACTAAGGAAGGGAATAAAAAGATATTGTTTATTGATCATTGTGCTAGCCAAAATAATGACACCCCCCAAAAAAAAAAATATATATATATATATATATATATATATATATATATATATATGTCCATAACCTATCCATGCCCTGAAGCTGGGCACCGGAGTGGAACCTACAAATGTATTACCTCACATGCCAAAAGGGGTTTTACAGATGTAATTAAGAGTCACGAGATTGGGAGATTATTCTGGATTATTAGTTAGTCACATAAGCTCTTAAATCAGGACATGAAGGCAGAACATTGAGTCAGAAATGAAAGGTGAGGACTTGAAGATGGATGAAGGAGTCCATAAGTCAAGGAAGGTGACAGCATTATAGCAGCAACAGGGCAGGCAGTGGCAGACAAGTTGTACAGAGAAAACCCTCCAAAGATGCACTGCACACACACATTTTTTACAGCAATCAAACCGTCAGAGCTCAGAACCTCAGGGTAAGAGCATGTGAGCTGTGTTTGCCCCGTAGGCCACTGCCAAGTCCCTGATATCTTAACACCTGGGCTTGAATGGGCCACTTGAGGGGGACAGAGACAGTTTAGGGATTGAGCAGAGGGAGAGACTGGATGGGGGACGTCTGTATAATGCCAGGATTCAAAAGGACAATACCTTCAGTAAATCAATGAGAAAAAAGAGAACGATGGTGCTGGACAGTGCTTGCCACTATGGGTCATTGCCACCTCTTCACACAAAACAGAGTCTCTGACATCTGAGCCCGCTAGATAACCCCAAACTTCCACTCTGACTCTCTTAAGTTCAAAGTCACAGAAGAACACTCTCCACCTGAACCCTGAACGGGAAGCAGGGGACTCCGTTACTGACGACTGCTGTGCGCCGACCTACTTCTGAGGGCGTAGACGAGACCAATTACCTGTGCTGAGCATGGACTTGTCGTGTGACCTTCAACACCACAGTAAAATCATTATGGGCCAAGGTAAATAATCTCAGTCTCCATCGGAACTTTTTCTACCCTCAATCTTTAAATCTTAAAAAAAAAAAAATCAAAAAAAAATCGCAACAAACAAAAACCCAACCCCGATACTAACCAGAACTGGCAGAAAGTCCCAGACAGAGCAAGCTCTTTTATTACGGTCATAAAACAGGCTCCTTTTAACTATTCCTCATTCCTGGGTACAGCTTGCAAATAATCGCATGAGTAACCTCTTGCCACCGTGAGAGGAATAAGTGGCCCTCTGTGTCCTCCCTGCAGGGCTCTCTGGTCCTATTGCAGAAGCGGCCTCACTGAGCAGCCACTGAGCCTGTAAGCCACACACCAAGCCCTCCGCAACATTAGCATATGTGGCAGTTGCTCTGGGCCATCCAGAGGAATGCAATTAAGCCATGCAGAGTTCAATTTTAATTGTCAACACTGTAATTCAATTATAGTATTATTTGCAGGTGCATCAAAGGGACCAATTGGAGGAAGATCAGATGGAAAGTTAACAGGTACTAGAAGCTACAACAATAGTCTTTTGTACCAGAAACGCATTATTTTTACCGGGGCTCTGGGGTCTTCAACAGTCACCTTTCCCCAGTTTTCTGGCATAAAATTCCAGGGTTCCACTCAAGTAGTCACACTTAGATTATACTGATTTAGGCTTTAAGGATTCAACCGTACAGAAAGTTTCATTGAATGGTCCTATTCGTGCTTACACGGCATTTCATTCTCATATAGCCCCAGAGCCCCCTGAGTGCAGAGATGAGGGTTGCCACACGATGGCTCAGGGTGGGAATGCTTGGATGTGAACATCAGGATGTCCTCAGAATATTCCTGGCCATGTTGTTCCTGGGGGCGATGATCTCCTGCATCATCTTCACGGATTGGTGGAGCAGGACAGTTTCATTTGTAGTGAATGCTTAGTCACATAAAGACACCTTTAGGGCCTAAAGGTTACTCCTTTTGGAAAGAGGTTTGGGAAGTGAACAGTCACTTATCAGACTATAAAGCAATTTATAAAGGGAATTTCCGTATGTAGAGTTATGATTATGAATAATCATTATTGAAGGCATTGTGTCTGTTTTAGGAGGAATTCGTGTTGTTTGTGCATAACTGGTTGCTATTTGGGGTGTGCAGGAAGTCCACGACATTTTCTTCCATTGGAATAAGTGATGATGGTGTTTTCATAAAGTGAGAGAATGCAGCCCTTGGGTACTCACTTAAGTACTTTAACAGGCAAAAGCAATGGTGTTTCGGTAGTGCTGGCACTACTTGATATCATCTGGCTGAAATTAATAAGAGAATTGAAATAGGAAAGGAGGGTTTAAAGGTTCTCACAAAGATGTCATTTCTGCGGAATCTCTGGTATCATGATGTGGTGCCACCGTTTGAAACTTTCTTATAACTGTGCCACCCTGTAAGCCACATGTGTCAAACACAAGGCCCGCGGGCCAAATCCGTCCCGCCAGGCCTTGCAATGTGGCCCGCACCGCGCTGTCATCACTGCACTCCTCTGCGTTTCCATCACAATGACAGTTTATGACTGTTCAGTAAACCATTCGGCCCGCGATTTAGGCTGGATTTTAGATTTTGGCCCCTTCTCTGATTGAGTTCGGCACCCCTACTGTAAGCAAAGGAACCCGTACTTGAAAGTGTCATGTGTAAGAGAGGTGAGAGCAAAGTCACTCTCTAGCTAAGAGACTGGGAGCAAGACAGAAGTGGACCTTGTTCCCAATGAACTCTTTTCTCCTGTAGACCAGGCCCTACCACACACCACCATAGAACTAATCCAGGAACAAAAGGAGCCCAGAAGAGACTCGGATAGGCCTGGACTCAAACATTAGTTCAGCAATTTACTAACACTATGACTTTGGGTGGTAATGTCAATGCTAACATCCACAAAATAAGCAGTAACTGACACCAATTGAGCACTTACCAAATGCTGTACTTGCATTGATTTAATCATCCCAATAATGAGCTAGGTATTATCATTACCACTTTTATCAATAAGGAAACAGAGGCTCAGAGAAATTAAGCCATTTTCCCAAAGATCCCACAGCCAGAGTAAGTGGCTGAGCTGGGATGCTATCCTTGCCAGTCCAACTCCATAGTCCAGTGGTTGGCAAACTGCGGCTCACGAGCCACATGCAGCTCTTTGGCCCCTTGGGTGTGGCTCTTCCACAAAATACCACGGCCTGGGTGAGTCTATTTTGAAGAAGTGGAGTTAGAAGAAGTTTAAGTTTAAAATATTTGGCTCTCAAAAGAAATTTCAATCATGTACTATTGATATTTGGCTCTGTTGACTAATGAGTTTGCTGACCACTGCCATAGTCATAAAATTCCCAAGCTCTGTGGTCCAGTTCAGCCCAACCATCTAGAAAATGAGGATGAGTTCACTATCTTGAGGCAAAGTGTCCAGCACAAAGGCATTCAGTAATTATCATTCTTTTGATCACAAACAGCATAGAACATATGCTCTCCAGACACTCACTAACAACCTCAGTGTTGAATTATCTGTCAAATAGTGCTTATCAAACCCTGTGTGAGCCAATTACTACTCAAGTGATGGTTCACAGGACGTGCCAACCACCGAGTCTTCAAAAAAAAAAAAAATTGGTGATTTGTTATTCCAAAAGAATCAGCCGAAAAGGAAATATCAGGGAAAATAAGAATGAAGTTCAGGATGCAGCCAGGAGAGGATACATACAGAAACCACTAACTGCCTTTTAGCCAATAAAAGGGAGAGCCTGGTCACAGAAATAAGTAACACGTACATGTAACACATGTGTATGAAAGAAATGTTTATGTGCTGCAGATCAACTGAGGCCCCAGAGATGGCAGCACAACCTCAGTCTTCATGGGACTTACATTCCAGTGCAGGAGGCACATGACACACAAAGAGACAAAAATGAATGTCAAAGGTCAGAGGGTGATAAGTGCTATAAAGAAATAGCAACAGGACACAAGGACAGAGAGTGATGTGGGGGAGCACAAGGAGGGTCTCCAGATTCCACACAACCCGCATCCAGTCCACTCCCTGCGCACCCATCCCAGACCCTCACCTACACACCCTGGACCAAGGCGAGGCCCCGAGGATCCAGACACAGGATCCTCAGACAGAGGGGACCGTGCCGAGGCTTTGTCATTTTAGCAATGCCTGTGCGGAGCAGTTAGGGGGCAGGGCTTGGCCCACACAGGCTCTTGATCAGGAGCTGGCTCATCCATCCCTCACAGCCATCCAAGGCTCTGTGCTCTGCCAGCGTCTCCTACCTGCTCCAGGCTGAGGGCTCAGCAGTGCCGACAGCCTGAGCCCGTCGGAGGGTCTGACTCTGTGGCTCTGAGCTCAATGCACAGGAGCCCCTGGGAGCTTCCAGATGAGACTCTGAAAGTTTGCTAGGAAATCCACACTCTTGGCTGTTTCCTCTCAGTAGGGTTTTGGGGGCCCTAACCTAGAACAGGACTTCCCAATCTGTGGAGCCTCCAGAAAGTGGGACATTGTCACACTCAAGGGCCCAGTGTTCCCTGAGAAGTTAAGTGCCTGACAGGTAACAGCTAGAACATGTTACAACACCACCAATAACAGGAAGAAGCTTCGACACACAGACAGCCCCCATTCCCATAGGCAAACACGCCAAACCCTCAGTAAGTCAGATGTGTCTCTTCGGAATGGCAGGTAAAGCACACGCCTGAGGGGGTGGGGGTGGGGGTAGTTCAGGTACCTGTGCACGTCCCGGGCTCCAGCCACACTCAGCCCAAACCTTCCTCCTCCGGCCATCGCTCACACCAGGAGCAAAGCCCCAAAGTAGCGCCCAGTCAGCAGACAAGGCCCCTGACCTGCAGCAGGTAAGGACAGAGAGGAGACCTGGGCCCGCTGGGAAAGATTTTCAACGACAGGTTTGTTCCAACCAACACGGGCTCCTCGGTTGCCACAATCAAGGAGTTAATAGGCCCGAACAGCTCCCTGGCAGCCCTTTCAAAACCAGTTTTGCTAGATCTTTTCTAGAGAACGTTCCTAACCGGCTAATGCAAACATGAGGCCAAACAGTTGCGATGGATAAAAAAACAATACGGCATAAAGAACATCCTCTGGGGGATGAGGTGAAACAGTACAAAGCCGCCTCCTGACTCCCAAACACACTGGAGGCCAGCTGGGAGGTGAGCGAAGTCGGCGTGAGAGTTTCAGCTCGGCTGCGAGAGGCCACCATGTGCCCTGGAGGATTTACAATAAAAGCAATGTCACTGCACCCAAGCTGCCTCGCAGCCAGGATCCAAACTGTGACAGTTATACACACACTAACATACGTTACATCTGCCTTGTCTCAACAGAAACCTAACTCACACCAGGTATCAGAGTTCTAGAAGTCTGTACTCTTCCAAAAGAGATAGCATGCACTCACTGGTTTGGCTCAGTGGTTTGGCGTGTGGACTGAAGGGCCCCAGGTTCAATTCTGGTCAAGGGCATGTACCTTGGTTGCGGGCACAACCCAATAGGGGGTATGTAGGAGGCAGCTGATCGATGTTTCTCTCTCATTGATGTTTCTAATTCTCTATCCCGCTTTCTTCCTATTAAAAAATCAATAAGTTAAAGAGAGAGAGAGAGAGAGAGAGAGAGAGAGAGAGAGATGGCATGAACGATAATAATAATTTAAAAATAAAACCAGAGGCTTCTCTCTGCACTGAAAAGAAAGTAAAGAGAGAAAAAACGGTTTCTCAGTGTGAGGCATGAGCTGTCAGTCACCAGCCTTCCCCGCCGTACTTGCTGTACCTGCAATGATCCCGTCCATCTGCTCCAGGGCAGCTGCCAGTGCGTGGCTGGCCTCAGAGGCCATGACTCCTTCTGCCTGCTCAGCCTCCTCCTCTTCCTCCTACTGAAAATGCAAATACAGAACAAAGGAAAAATTACAGCGAGTCCACAATATGCGTACAAGATCCAATGCCCTCATACTCCCTCATCATACAGTGTGCACTCATGAGTGTGCACATCTTGGTAGCTGGCCTGTGGATTCTGCCACCTCCATGGCCTCTCCCTGCTGTTATAAGTGCTCTTTTGCCATGAATCCTTACCACATGATCCCATTTGCAATGAAAAGCCACTAGGAGTCACGTGTAGCAGGAGGCAGTGATTGCCACTGCTCGTCATCAGAACAGTCCCAGGCTCTGAGGGCTCCTGCCACACCAGGGAAGGCTCCCCAGTGAGCGAGGACTTGTCAGGACGAGAGCCCTGCAGCGGTGGGTCACAGCAGGCATTTAGCTCTCTTGTAGCTGCATTTGTCCCACACCTGCAATACTTTCCTTGGGCAGGCGTGATCCAGAATGGGATGCCTCACCTGCCACTTTCTCTTTTCGATTGGCCCCATGTCCACACCTAGGAAGGCCGTGGGCGCACCATCCTGGGGAGAGTACAGTCCCAGGAACCAGGAGCATGCCTCCTACAATTTCAGCTCTACGCTTCCCGGCACCATTCCAGGGGCAGAATCCAGGCCCTGGCCAGGTGCTCAGTGGGTTAAAGCATCATCCCAACCCCAGGTCAGGGCACATACAAGAATCAACCCATGAATGCCTAAATACCTGGAACAACAAATTGAATTTCTCTCAACTCAATTAGAAAAAAAAAAAAAAAAAAGGTACAGATTCCCATCTTCTCAGGACTGGAGAACTTCCCCCAGGATACACTGTCTAGCCACTCCCTAATCCCTTCTAATGAGGGAAGTATCTGTTGGTTCCATCTCTAGACACTTCTGCCTCTAAGAAAAATCTTTAATGAAACTGTCTTCCTGCAGCCTCTTTCATTTTCCTTGCATCCCCCACTCCTTGGCTGGCAGCATTGCTATTCTACGAAGAGACTTCGGTAGGAGTTGCTGTTTATTTGCTCATTCAGCAAAACCTATGTGTGCGCCCAATGGGCACTAGTGCTGCGGTGAACAGAGGCACAGCGCCCACACCCAAGGACGGCACAGGTCAGGAGACAGAAGGTCCTGGGGGGGGGGGGGGGGGGATGGTCTCTGCTGTGACATTGGGCCTCTGGAGTAAAGGGAGGAGCGAGCAGACACAGAAAAGTGCCTTTGGAGATGGTGTGGATAAGGATGTCAGGACCACAGAGAACCATTCTGGGCTATACCAGTCATTAGCAGTGAAACGGCCAGAGTTGGAACCCAGCTCTGTCATTTACTGTGTTATCTCTGAGCCTCAGTATCCTTATCTGTAAAATGGGGATAATAACACACCTGACTCCTACGGTTGATGTCACAATTAAATGAGGAATTAGTATTTCATAGAAAACGCTTAGTACAATCCCCTGCCCACAGTAAGGGCTCCATATGTGTGAATTTTTATTTTTTTTATTTTTTTTATTTTTTTTTAATGAGGAAATAACCTCAGGATGTATTTGTACTAGCATTACTCAGGGGATGAGAGATTTTAAAGTAAAGCTAGATAACCTGAGAGTCTGGTTCCTTTGGAGGAGGCAGGCATGGCAAAGGAAGATAAGCAACCATGTGTGTGGAGAGGGAGGGCAGGGTTCAGGTGCAGAGCCAGGAAGGTTTGGAGACAGGCCCTGCGCCCTGCAGTCCTGGAGGCTCCCGGCTCAGGAGAATGAAAATGTCAGAACCTCACTGGCGCCTCAGTGCATGAACAGGAGGCAGCTAAGGCCACAGGGAGCAGGGCTGGTCCACAGTAAGTCTAGCAGCCCAAGCGGCTGCAGAGCCAACACAGTGTGCAAATCTTGGGGCCAGAATGGAAGCAAGCTGGGATGGGGATAAAATAAGAGGCAGCAGGGAGAAGGGATACAGCAGAAGCAGGCAGCATTCAGCATATTCACACTTGTTTGGCCACCTGGGATAGTACAAAGTTTTTAACCCCTTCCCTTGGAGGACTTCCTCCTGCTCCCAGGGAAAAAAAGCCAAATTCCTTCCTGTGATCCACCAAAGGGGCGTGGCTGGATGGCTCCTCACTTCAGTCTCCTGTTCAAGATTACACCTGCCTGGGCTCAGCAATCTGAGTGGCTGATTTATTCTCATCCTTCAGGTCTCAGCTACAACGTCCCTTGAGAGGCCTTCCTGGCACACCTCCACCTAAAGGAGCTCCTGGAAAGCACAGCAGTTTACAAAGCAGCTCGTCCATACATGTGTTTCCTTGCTCACCGGCCTTGCTAACCCGCTCCATGGAGGCAGGGGACCTTCTCTGCCTTGTCCACCCCTATGTGCCCAGTGCCTGAGTAAACACTTGTGAATAAATGTTTGGACCCATGCAGCCAGCCTGCCCTGAACCCACTAGACTCTAGTGACTAGAGGATACTAATTGGTCAGGCCTAGTCTTTGTCCCGATGGGCCACGTGGTCTGGAGCAGAAGATGAAACTGTGAGCAGATAATTATGACACCAGGGGAGGCACGCTGGAAGAGGCAGGTATGCCGTTTCCCCGGGTCTTGAGGAGGAGTAGGAGCTTTCTCAGGAGATAAGGGGAAGAATGTTGTTCCAGGCGAGGATGTGGTAAGCAGAAGGTAGAGAAGCATGTAAAGGCAGGATGTAATTGGCAAACGTCAAAATGATTGACAAGATTACACAGGCGCATCCAGTTGCTTAAGATGAGTCAAACCTTCCATGGGATTCACATCGCCTGACAAGGGCAATTAATGAGAGGAGCTTGGCAATCACACTCACTACTGGTCTGGATACCAGTGAGCAACAAATCAAGTGACCTCAGACATAAATCTGACAGAGATTCCAGAAAGGTCTTACAGTTCAGTACACTGGCCCCACAGGAGGCCTCATTACCAGGGGGAAAGTTAGGGAGCAGTTGGAAGCCACCAAGCCCAGAGGGCCCAAGCTATAGCCCCCAGCAGCAAACGGGCCATCAAAAAATGACCCTTGGAAACAGAAACAAACAAACAAACAAACAAAAAAGACCCTCGGGCCCTCTGCCCAGGGATGACTTTGCACCTGGCAAACAGCAAGCCGGGTGGACCCGTGGGAGCTGGCGCGAAGCGAAACATGAGTCAAGGGTGTATCATATTTATAATCTGGGAGCCCGGGACTGGCAGACTGGGAGCACTCAGGAGTGGGAACCGGCTGAGGGCAGCCAATGAGCTCAGTGTGAGGCAGGGAGAGACAGCTGGGCAAGACCGGGCCCTCCCAGCGGCTGTGGGGGCCAGTGGGCTATAGAAGAGGCCTCTGACAGGAACGCTGTGCAATGGAAGTGCCGCCTCCAGCCCCCATCTATGAACATGGGCACTCTTACTGGAACAGGGAAGCCACGAGCCATGAACCATTCCCATCTGGCAACCATAGCCATGTTCTTCCCTCACCACTGTCAAGGTTGAGCTCCCATCAGTAACACGCAGTAGGACAATCCCTGCCCTCCAGAACATGGGGTCTCAGAGGCAAACGTGTCACCCGGCAACACCCAGTGTGTCTGATGTCTTCCGTGTCTGTTCATCCCCTCAGAGACACATCACCTCTGCTGGGAGCCCGGGTTCCCCAGGGCCCTGCGGCCTACGTGCAGGAAGCTCCATGCCAGAGGGCTTCCTGGAGAGGAGCCAGCGAAGGGGCCAGAGAGCGCAGTTGAGGAGCCATAACCCGAAGGGACAGAGGGATCAGGGCGACCCCCGGGCAGGTGGTGGCCAGGGGAACTGCAGTCATGTTCTCTGCAAGTGAGAGGGGAGCCGCCCAGGGGCTGGCATGGAGTAGAAGACAGAGGGGTAGGCACTGCCCTGGGGCTCCAAGGTTAAGCGCCCCACTAGCCCGGGAAGGAGAGGAGCAGGCAGAGGAGGACACTGCTCTCAAATAGTACAGTGATGGTTGTCGTATTGGCTGAAAGCATTTTCCTTCTCTTTGACACCTAGATGGTTAACCAAGCCCTGCATTGGACCTTATGAGCAGACAGGCCTCTGATACCAAGAGAAATGTTGTCTAAGAAAAGGTGCAGCCCATTCATCATTCCTTCCCTTCTCCCATAGGCCTCTTTCCCTGCTGTCATCTTCCTATGCAGTGTCTGAAGCCGGGGCTCCCCTAATACAGGACTCTCCTTCCTCTTTGTTACCAGCCAGGGAGCAAACAGCCGTAAGAACAGCCAACCAGGAGGAAACAACTATGTTTTAGAACGACAGCGTCTGGGGGCAGATGGCAAGGCCACTGAACTGCAACTCACAAAGGCGGTGTGGCCCCTGAGAGCTGATTCGGGCGCAGGATGTGTGTGTTCTGAAATTTAGAGAGTGAGCCGCTATTCATTGCCCATCACCTGGGGTGCCCTGAGGCACGCAGTGATGTAGACATTGTATGAACCACTTTCGAGTTCAGCTGAGAAGAATCAGGAGTAGGCAGACGTTGTTAAGGTAAGTCTCATGCAAGTAAACCTGAACATATCCCACCCACTCTGAATTGCAGGCTTCCACTTCATTTTATGAACTACTTTTCTCTCAGTAAAAGGGGTTGGGGTTGCAGGTGTTTGAGGCAGGCTCACACCATCCTGGATGGAGGAAGGAAGCAGGAACAGATCTAGAGTCCCCGGTGCCCCTGCTCCTCCAGGGTCTCCTGTGCCAGGGCTGGATCCTGACTCCCCGGCAGCTGCATCCAGACGGGGGCCCAAGTCCCCAAGTAGAAGGCAAGGCCTGGGGAAAAAACTCCCAGCCAAGAACCCACCACCACCAAACATCGCATGCCTCTCCCCTCCCTGAGTGGCCAACAGGTGGCAAAGTGTCAGCATATCACAAAAAATCGAAGTCTTCCTTAGAGTTTGCAGGTCACCAATAAATCACAGCTGCTCTTAAATGGTCATTTGAAGAAATACCTATTGCTATAGGTCCCTAAACTTGGGAGACAGCCTCTTAAAGGAAACAGAAAACCTAGCTCTTGGGGATGGTGGAGCAAGAACCATTAACAGCATTTTAAAAAGGAAGAAGAAGAAGCAGACAATGGAAGAAGACACACTAGGAAGTTATCTAAATTCTAAATCAAACCCCTTGTCAACCAGTAACAACTTTATAGCCAGACAGTCTTGAGTTGAAGCCTGGGCTCTGCTGCTAATGGCTGAGGGTCCTCAGACAAGTTGTTTAACCTCTCTGAGCCTCAATGGTCAATATAAGCCAATCTCATTGCTATAACCAAGAATAAACAAGACAGACCTCAAGTAAATACAGCAGATTGACGCCAAACGTCTAATTTAGCTACTCACTGACACAATGGTAGCGGAATTTATTCTGAAAGACATAAACCCACCAGGACATGTGAGTGTGTAGGAAACAGGGGGATCAGGCAACAGCTCTGCAGCAAGTGTACAAGGGTAACTGATCCCAGCTGGGGTGCTGCCAAAAGCTCTGGGAGAGAGTTCCTCAGTAAAATGAAATTAACACAACACCTAATGCATCTGGATATCTTTAAAAACTGACATCACTGGTGAGGAATTTGTTCAATTCAATATTAAGAAAACAGAAAACCGTGCCCAGCTGGTGTGGCTCAGTGGTTGAGCGTCAGCCCATGAACCAGGAGGTCACTCACCGTTCTATTCCCAGTCAGAGCACATATCGGGTTGTGGGTTCAATCCCCAGTAGGGGGTGTGCAGGAGGCAGTTGATCAGTGATTCTCATTGTGTGTGTGTGTGTGTGTGTCTCTCTCCCTTCTTTTCTGAAAAATATTATACAAAGAAAAGAAAATAGAAAACCAAACAAATGACAGAAGAACTTTATGGAAACAAAAAGTAAAAGTAATCATAGTCCTTCCCATGAAACACCACATACTGCTCTCGCCGGAACACACTGGCAGGGTAGGGGTGGGAAAGAGCACGTGAGGAACCAGGGTAAGATTGGGAAAAGAGCTTCCGCCTCAAGTCTAGAGTAGAAACTCAGAAGTCACCAGATAAGGACAACTGAAACAATAATAAAGTAGCAGAACAAGTATTTTTTAGTGATATGGATTTTAAAACAAGAATTTTAACTGGCTACCTCTGAGGAAGAGCGAGGAGGGGTGGGTGGGAAGGGAGATAGCTGTGTTAACAAGTCATTTATAATTATTTAACTTTCTAAATTGTGTAGATATATAGTGGTGATAAAAAAATAAAAATAAAAAAGATTTTAAAAGATGTGTGTGATGTGCTTGGCACACAGTGGAGACTCAATGTGTGCCCTTTCTCCTCCTGGGCAGGTGTCTGCTCGTTACTTGCTTCGAGTTTAACCAACATTATGTCACTTAATCCCCACTCACCAGGGAGGAATCATTCTCCCCCTTTTCCAGATGAGCAAGCAGATTGGGCAGTTTGCCTGAGGATGCACAGGCTCTTCCTGTTCTTCCACTTGGCCACTCAGACAGGAGCCCAGGGGAGGGTTTTGAGCACAGAAGGACCTAACTTACCTTCCAAAAGGAACACTTTTTTTTTTTTTTTTAATACAGAGAGAAAGAGAGAGAGTTAGAAACATCGATGAGAGAGAGTCATCGATCAGCTGCCTCTTGCACACCCCCTACTGGGGATATGCCCGCAACCAAGGTACATGCCCTTGACCGGAATCGAACCCGGGACCCTTCAGTCCCCAAGCCGACGCTCTATCCATTGAGCCAAACCGGTCCCGGCCAAAAGGAACACTTTGCATGGAAACCATCTAAGTGTTCCATCGCTGGAGGAATTGATAAAGATGATATATATATACTCAGCCATAAAAAAGGAAATCTTACCATTTGCGGCAACATGGATGGACCTTAAGGACCTTATTCTAAGTAAAATAAGACAGGCAGAGAAAGACAAATACCATATTATCTCATATGTGGAATCTTAAAAAAATAAACTAACCAACAAAACAAAACAAACTCATAGATACAGAGAACAGACTGGTGGTTGCCAGAGTGGAAGGGGGTTAGGGGACGGTGGACTGGGAGAAGGGGATCAATTGTAGGTGATGGATGGTCACTAGACTTACGGTGGTGATCACCATGTAGTGTATACAAATATTGAATTACAATGTTGTACACCTATTTCACACAATAAAAGTATATTAAGTAAAGGAAAACAAAAGAAACATGGACTGAGGGCAGGGGTTGGGCTGCTGCAGCAGTGAGCACAGGGAAACCGGGCAAGAATGATGGTGATAAATATTCTAATCCTTGACATATGTTGAGGTCAAAGCCAGTAAGCCCTACCGACAGATTGGACATGGGCATGAGAGGGAGGAGTCAAACATGACGATAAGACAAGGTTTTCACCCTGAGCCTCCGGGAGAGTAGGGAGAACCTCAGGGGTAGGGATGGGGGAGAATGAATCAGGAGATTGGGTTTGAAAATGTTTAAGATATCTAAAGACATCTAGGAAGACATGCTGAGAAGGCATTTAGAAATCCAAGTATGATGTTCAGAAAGAGATTTGGGCTGTAGTTAACTATTTGGGAGCCGTCTGCATAAAGATGGTATGTAAAACAACTGCACAAGTAACTTAAGTAATGTAGACACAAAAAAAGATGAAGGAAAAGGAAGAGGAGGAGGAGGAAGAGATGGAGGAGGAGAAGAAAAAGGAGAGGGAAAGGGGGAAGAGATCCCAGACTCTCTGGAACAGTTCCATGTGTGGCCGTCAGGGAGAAGGACCAATACAGAGACGGGGAGCATCAGCCAGAACTGAGAAAGTGGCGCCCTACAAACCCAAAGGAGGGTTTAGGATGGAGGATGCAATCAGGGGAGCCAACTGCTGCTGAGTCAGACCAGAGATCATCCTATCTCCAAACTCCTGCTGGTGGTGATCTCATCTCCTCTGCCCCCACAGCCTCACCTGTGCCTGCATTACCTCATCACCTAGCTCCTCAGATGATTCTAAAATTGACCTAAATGATCAGAAGAATGGCTGATCGAATGCAGACACAGCTTCCAGCCACCCACACTCTTCTGCTTAGAAAGTATCCGGGTAGAATTCATGCATTCAAACTCTTCGGTTGTAATTTTAACTCCCATCATATCCCTTGGTGAACCTCTGCCCCATCCTTCCGGGGGCAGATTCTAATTGTTAGTTCATTGAGGCACCTGCTTTCCTGCTTCATACCCAGGAATGAAAGAAGCTGTGCACAGCCTTCTCCTCTGCAAGCCTTGCATGCATTCAGGCCCTGGGGGAACCTCCCCCCACCCCTTCTGTAAGCCCTGAAGAAACTATGCATTATCAGTGGGCAACTGAGGTGGCCTTGAAGACAATAAAGCTAGGAGGAGGGAGGTGGCCCCTCATCCTTCCCCATGCTCTCACACTCTGTGGGCCCCAACAGGTGGTCGTCGCCAGCAGATAGTGCTGCCCATCCCACCTCCATGATGCCACCACAGTCACCAAGCCAGAAACCTGGGAGTCATCCCTGGCCTTCCTTTCTGTCACCCACACCCACCCAGTTGGTCACCATGTCTGGTAAAGTCTCTTCCTCATCCCTTCTCAGAACTGTCCCCTCATCTGCACCTGCCCGGTATCAGGCCACATCATTTCCCATCAGAATGACTGCAAGACTTCCAGACCGGTTTTCCTCCTGCAGCCTCACCCCACACACCTCATCTCCCACATTGCTGCCAGGAGAATGGGTCTATTTCACAAGTCCTGTCAAGGCATCCCAGAGCTGTGCAGCTCTTCCCCAGTTTTCTGTCACCCGAGAGGAAGTTAAGGACCCAAAAGATAGTCACGACTCTGCACTCTGTAGTCAGACTTGCATTTGGACCCACATTCTCCCCATCAGGGGCTTTGCCCTGGGACAGTTCCTCAGTGTCATCGGGTTTCATGTTCCCTGTTTATAAAATGTGGGTGACAATGTACACAGGGTGAGACCGTGGGGATTCGGTGAGATAATGCGTGCAGAAGTCCTTTTCACATAGCTGGGAGGGGGTTCGCATCCACAGCGGTGATAATTCTCTCAGCCCTATCTGGCCCCCACCTTGAGCACCAACCATTAATACAGCCAAGCTATCGGCACCCTGCTTGCTTTCATACTGAGGCTTCCTCACTATGCAAGACCCCCAACCCAGCTGCTCAATTCCCTCTCCTCTTTCAAGGCCCAACTCCAGCATCATGACTCCAGAGACCTTCTCCATTCCCCACATAGAACTGACAGCTCCTGACTAGGTCCTCCTCTCCACCCCACAACAGGCTTCCCTCAGCATCTGGAACACTCCAGAGCAAGGGCCGCTTCTGTGTGCAATTCCTTTGTCTGAATGGGAAGCTCCTAGAGGGCAGGGCCATGTTTCTGAGCCCAGAGCTCAGCTGAGACCTGGCACAGAGCAGGTGGTCAGCTTCCATCTGTTGGGGAAGACCATCCACTGGGGAAGACCATCTACTAGGGAAGACAATCAGTTGGGGCCCTTATCTGCCTGAGGGAGGCAGTGGAGACTGACCAGGGCCAAAACTCCTCTCTACCTGTAGATCTGTGAAATGAGTTACCTGCTTTCAAAATACAATGGGACAGGTAATAGAGGATAGACATTCCCATTCCAAAGGGAAAAAAATAGCTACTAGTAAGTGGCTTCCAGGGGTGGCAGGCCGCCTCTGCCAGGACCTGTGCCACCATAGGCCGCCCCTGGAGCCCAGAGGTCTGACCGAGGTCCTATCCAGCCCCAGGTCTTTGTCTTACAGGCTTGCCAGTGAAGTAAAGCAGCACACCTGGCCTCAGAGGGACAGCAGGCACAGAGACACCCACTCAGGATCAGGACCAAAGGACAAGCCACGGGCATTAACTTTCCATCAGGAGAGAGGAACCAGACACAGAGACATCCAGGCAGCTATCAAAACTGCTGGGTGGCCACAGCCGGTTTGGCTCAGTGGAGTTTTCTGTCAGCCTGGGGACTAAAGATCCCTGGTTCGATTCCAGTCAAGGGCACGTACCTCACCTCATTTGCAGGCTCGCCGTGTGTGTGTGAAGGCAAACAATCAATGTGTCTCTCTGTCTCTCCCCCTCCCTTCCACTCTCTCTTAACCTCAATGGAAAATGGCCCTCCATTTTGTGAGGATTAACAACAACAAAAAGAGCTGTGGATGCCTTCAGAGCCTGTCGGAGCCTAACGAAGAGAACAGGTGGAGTCGATGTCTTTTGTCAGTGAATAGACGCTCAGAGAGCCTAAGAAGAGCTGCACAGGAGAAGAGAGAATGGTGCTGAAGGTGAGCGAGCATGCTTGTCCCCATCTAATCATGGCATCAGCGGCTCCTAATAACAGGCACTTGTTTAAAGCTTTCAGCTTCGAAAGCGTTCTCACTCGCCAGGCCTCTCATTCCCACCAACCACCCCGGACCGGGCTGTTCTGAACTGCCAGCCAGTTAAGCTGAGACCAGACCTGTGGGGCCCAAGATCTTTCAGAATTGATGAAAGGGCCTCAGCCTAGGAGCAGGCTGGCGGTGCCGGGTGGCGGCGGGGGACAGATGCGATATTTCTTGCTTAGCATCTTTTTCCTGCTGTACCAGATTCGTGCGCTGTATGCACTGGGCATTCCCAGCCACGCCCTCCTGGGAGAGGCCCCAAAATCCCTAAGAACACTTGTGCTGGAGCCCAGCTCTCCCGAACCCACTGGCTGCTTTCTGGCCCTTCCATTTAGAGCCCAGCCCAGCTCCTGTCACATGTCACTGCTCCGCCACCAGCCTCCTTGGGCACATCCACACCCAGATGCTTCCACTTAAGCACTAACCTCAAGAGTTCAGGTCCTTTTCACCAAACCACAGCCCTTTAAACAGATCTCAAACAGCTCTTTCATCAACATGTAATAATAGCAGGATACTCGGTATAACAGCTGAACCCCCACCCCAGCCCTGCTCTCAAGAATGCAAGGAATAGCAGCATCAGGCACGGACACCTCACCTCCAGGGCCTAGAAGGCCAGACTTCCTCCCAGCTCAGCCGTCCTCCGCCCTCAGGACAGAGGGAGACAAGCCTGAAATGACAAGCTTCTTAAGAGAAACACCACCCCAAAGCCATGAGCATGAGATACCCCCAGCCCAGCCCACAGGAGGAGCATGGGCTCTGGCCAGGAAACGGGCGCCATGGCTCACACCCAAACAGCCCTTCTGACCTGGGCTTATGGAACACTGAAGACTGATGTGCAGTTTCCCTCGATGTCTTTGCTTAATACTTTCAAACACTTGCTTCACCTTCCTCTGACTATGCTCACCTCCCATTTCTGCTCTTGACATTCTGCCCCTAACTCAGGGGTTTATGGTAGGAAAGAGGTCATGACAATCTCAGTGACCAAGGCCATGTGTCTTAACTCAGGCCTGTGGAGGAATGCTTTGGTCAGATCTCAAAAGATAACAGATTCAGGTTCTCCAGCAGGGACAGGGATGGGAGATGAGGCTAAGAGGAAGGAATTTGTGGCCTTTGAAAGAGTGAGAGAGAAGCCACAAGTGTCCACATAGCATATCTTCAAGGGGACCCTGCCCACTGCCAACCCCCTTCTACTCTGTTACAAGATAGTATTTTACTGGAAATAAGATACATATAACAGAAAAGAATTGTCATAAAAATGCATGATCCATAACTATCAATCTATTATTATTAGATGTTTAGCCATTTAATAAATACTATTTGCCCCCTATTATCAGTAAAAACCTTTGCTAGTAGATGCTATGAGTGAATAAAAAAAGAATGTTAAGACTAAGTTATTTACCCACCAAGGGCCAAAAATCTTTCATCTCTCATCCATGTCAAGTAAAACATGAAGGTTGCATGTAGGATTGGACTGCTATCTGAGATCCATGAGCCAAAGCCAACAAACTTTGGTTTTTTCCAATTTAGACTTCAAAAATTCATAAATTAATTAATGATCTAATTCTAAAGTAGTCATGGTATTTCTTTGTGAGAAGAAAAACATCATTTCCCTGAAATTCCCATCATCTCTAAAATTAAGTTCAGATGGCACTTAGCTGCTAATATTTCTACATTGTCACTAGCTCATTGAGCAAGTAACATGTAAAACATCACATAAAGTTAGTTTCAAAGACAAGCTGAGTTTCAAATTTGCCAATCATTTCATGGATAATAAGGCTCACCTCATCATCCTCTCACTCAAGATAATGAATATTCTAGGGGAAGAGTGTGGGTGACAGGCAGCATACAGGACCTGGGATCCTGAGGGAGAAGGACACATACATGCTGTACGCTTGGGAGAGGGAAGCTCAGTATGCTCAGGGCAGGGCAGCAGGAGGAAGGAGCGACAGTGCAGTGTGGGCAACCTAGAAGGCTTCACATGGCCAGAGAGACTTCTCCAGCTCGACAGCAGGCAGAATGCATTGCAGGAGGAGCTGGGAGGGGATGAACATATAGCTCTGTGTGGTCAGACAACTGGGAAAGAATGGCACCAAATGAGGCTGGGGCCAGCTTGTGAAGGGTCCCTCACCTCATCTCACCCCTAGAACTTGACCTTTATCCATTGGACAATAGAGAACCACTGGAAGGAGCTATCTGGAAAATGCCCTTCTTTTCCAGCAACAATGAAGAAAGAGCATCAACCTATGAACCAGGATCATAGTTAGACTTCAAGTCAGGGCACATGTCAGGGTTGCAGGCTTAATCCCCAGAGGTGGGGGGCGTATAGGAGGCAATCAATGATTCTCTTCCATTATTTGATATTCCTCTCCTCTCCTCTCCTCTCCTCTCCTCTCCTCTCCTCTCCTCTCCTCTCCTCTCCTCTCCTCTCCTCCCCTCCCCTCCCCTCCCCTCCCCTTCCCTCTTCTCCCCTTCTCTCTCTCTCTCTCTCTCTCTCTCTCTCTCTCTCTCTCTCTCTCTCTCTCTCTCTCCCCCCCCCCCACCTCTCTCCCCTTTTTTCTTCCCAGATTGCAGCAGGCAGTCAGACATCCCCTGAGGGGTCCTGGACTGGAGAGGGTGCAGGCTGGGCTGAGGAACCACCTCCTCACTGCACGAAATTCATACACCAGGCCTCTAGTATATAATCAAATAATATAGAAAGATGCAAGGACATGAGGGAAGCGTCCTTCTGGCAGCCTGTCCCCTCCACCTGCCTACCTCAGGAACCCTGCGGCACCCTCCCACTTCTCTCTCACCACCCCCCTCATTCTGATAGCGAGGATGGGGCTTCTCTCCTTTGGCCCCACCAGCCCTGTGCACATCAGCAGTCCACTGTCAGCATGCAGGATCATCCCCTGAAACTCTGCCTGTGTCTCTCCATTCACTTTCCCAGCTCTCACTGCACCTGCTCCCCTACTCCCTCTGCCTCTCTGGCCACAACTTGCCTGACACTCCCCCTGCCTGGCAGGCAGGCTCAGGTGTCTTCTTCCTTCTGCTCCAAGATCCTTAACAATGCACACAGCTCTGTCAGACACTCTGCACTCAGACCTTCAGTCTCCTCTTTCCTTCTTATCAGACTCCTCCTCAGCAAACTACCATGTATCTTTCTTTGTCGAGAAATGGAATCTTGCAATTCCTTTTCTCTTCACCCCAAATTTCCTCTCCATTCTCTGAACTCATTGCTAAGGTCCAAATGGCTCAATTGTTCCCTCTTTAAGCTGAATATGCATCTCTCCCCCTCTCCTGATCCTTCCTCTCAACCCACAAATATTAAAGCCTCAGTTATCCTAACACCCTTTCTTTGGCCCTACATCCCTTATCTTTTCATGTTTCACCTCCCTTTTCTGACACCTTGTGTGATATTTCCACCCACGTATGTCGCCGCTGCTCTCTCATCTACTGAGCTACTTCAGTTCTTATTCCTTGAGAGGCAGTCTAGGGTGGGCTTAAAGCACAAGCTGGAGGCTCAGGCTGCTTGGGTGAGACCATTTCTGACAACACTCACAAGGTTCCTGGGGCAAGACTCTTACTCTCTGTGCCTCAAATGCCTCATCTATAAGATGAGCAGAATCAAAGTACCCACCCCAGAGGTGGGGGGTGAAGGTCAAATGAGTTAATGCAAGTGAAGCAGTGAAACCAATGGGCAGCCAGTGCTGGCTGGGGTTGCTCTCTGTGGCATATCATCGGTGCTGGAACCCCGAAGACATGCTCCTTCCTTGGCATTTGAGATGAGGTGCTCTCTGGGTTCCTCTGGACCCTCCTCCTTCACCAAGTATCCCATCTAGGCTTCCGCTCCCCGTTCCAGGGCAGATTCCATGCTAGGTCTCTTCTTTCCTTCTATAGTTTCGTCCTGGACAATCCATATTTCATCTCCATGTTCATGACTCATAAAACTAGACTGCTTTGATGAGCTCTAGACCAAAATATCCAAATACTCATCAGCTTACTGACTACTTCCTAGCAGCCCCCGAGATGCAGCATTCTCAAAAACTCTCAGCATGGTCCTGCCTTGGCTTGGTAGCTCCTATGGCCTCAAACTGTGCCCTGGATCCCCTGTGATCACTCCCTCACCTTCCGACAGCTGACAAGTCCCTGTGATCGGCTCCTGCAAGGATGCTCTTCCCCATCTCACTTTCTCCACTCCAGCTGCCCACCCTGAGTTTGAGTATTCAGAATCTGGGCATTGAGGCCTCCTCTCTCCTGAGCAATACCTGGACTCTCCCACTGCAGTCATGATGTGGCATTCAAGGCATTTCTTAGCTAAATGGACTGTCCCCAAACTGTCCTGGACTCATGATGGTAATAATAACGGCTGTCATTTATTAAGCAATCTCCCTGCACTGAGTCACATGTTTATGTGTATCTCATATGCCAGTATTCTTAACTGCTATTTTAGAGACAAATTTTACAGACAAGGAAAACAAATCTTGGAGATGTTAAGTAACCTAGTCAAATCACACATCTGGGAAGAAGTAGAGATGGGATCAAATCCAGACTGTCTGGCTCTAAGGTTATGTTCTTAATCACTATGCAGCACTTTCTCACCAAGCCTGGCTACCTCCAACCATGTTCTTCTGAGTTCCTGCTACACTGACCACAGGAGTGCATTCCCGTTTTGCTATGCCTTCTTCACGCTGCCTCCTCAAGCTAAAGGTCTCTTCTCCAGGCTCCATCCATTAAAACTAAATATTTCAAGGTCCAGATGATTCTCCTTCCTCTATGACAGCAACCCTATCCTACCTGACCAAGAGAACTGCTGAGACCCACTGCCCATGCTCACACCTCCATTTAATTTGTTTCACGATGCCCTGGGGATACCCAGTGGGAGGACACTGACATCCTCTCTGTCCAGGATCTCCTCACCTGGAGGCAGCTAAGTATCTGATTGGTGGGAATGAGAGAAGAAACTGAGCATGTGCAGCCCAGCTATCCTTCTCTCACTTTCTCCGGAGCTGCCTTGCAGGAGACCTGCATTCACCCAGGTCCCTGGTAGCAGTGGGTATGCTAACTCAGCAGAGAGATGCATTGGGAACCCTACTGGCCACATTCCCAAACACCTTTATAGCCTTAGAGCAGATATTTTGGTCTCTGACTCCCGGTCTTTTTTTTTTTAATTTTTTTTTCTTTATTAAGGTATTACATATGTGTCCTTTTCCCCCATCTCCTCTCCCTCCACCCCTCTCTACCCCGGTGTTATTTTTTAATTGGTGCCAGACTCAGAGGGCATTTAAGGGGTATAAATAATTACCACATTGCCCATTGAATCTGTGTCACTAACAGTAAAATAAGAACTGGTCACCCCAGCCAGTTTGGCTCAATGAACAGAGCATCAGCCTGTGGACCGAAGGGTCCAGAGTTTGATTCCAGTCAAGGGAATGTGCCTTGGTTGCAGGCTCCTCCCCAGCCCAGGTCCTGGTCAGGTTGCGTGCAGGAGGCAACCAATTGATGTGGTTGTCTCACATGGATGTTTCTCTCTGTCTTTCCATCTCTCATCCACCTCTCTAAAAAGATAAACAGAAAAACATCCTCAGATGAGGATGAAAAGAAGAAGAAGAAGAGGAGGAGGAAAAGGAGGAGGAGGAGGGGAATTGGTCCCTGTTGCTCTATCTGGCACATTAGTGACCAAGAAGGAATCTCTGGGGGTCGATTCCTGATCACTAGCAAAGAAGCCCCCACAGCATCCTGAGTGACAGCCCTACCCAGCCACGTGGCGCCTCTGTGTGGGAGCCTGGCTCTCTAGCAACCTGCACATGACCCTGTAATTCACTTTCCCAGGTAGGGTAATGCCAGGAAGGCAGTCTGGGAGGGCAGGCGTTTGTGTTGTGGCCACTGGACAACGCCTGCCAAAGTGAATTAGTCCACTGGTGCCTGGTTAATAGATTAGCCTTGTCGGTTTGGTCAGCATGAGTCAGGCTCTCAGGCCACAAGTACTGGTCTATGAATAGATAAGGGAGGAGGGTCTCTGAGCCTGCAAACCGCCCTCCAAGCAGTCTTTACCTCTACTCTCTGCTGCCCACACCTGCAGGCCCCACGGCAGAGAGAATCTACCTCGCTGACAGGAAGGAGCCTGCCTGCAGTGTGTCTCTACAACCCTTCAAAGGAAGAACACACCCTTCAAAGAAAGCTCCCACCATCCTCCTCTCACAGCAAAGAACACACACACACACACACACACACACACACACACAATTTACCTCCAGGGAGGAACAAATGGAGAAAAGGTAGACAAATTCAAAGAAATGCTTCAAATGTGGCCTCAACCTGATTACTTCCAAGACATTTTGGCTCAAAACCACCACCTAAAAAAATATAACCAGCCAGGGGTCATTTAGAGTTGGATAATGGGTAAGGAGAGTCACTATACCTTCCTTCTACTTTTGTACGGCTTGAATTTTTTTTTTTTTTTTCCCAGTAAAAGATTAAACAAACATGCCCACATACCACTTAGGGAGGCTAGATTTTTCCAGAGAAAGTCACAAGACCCCAACTTCCCTTGCTAGGGACCAGCAGAACTGAGATTTGAATCTAAATTCCTGATGACTCATGTGGTGTTCTCCCTACAGTGCCATTCAGACTCCCTGAAGGTCCTGATATCTAACCAAACTCTCATCTCCCCATCCTTCAGCCCCACTGCCTCTCACCTGGATCTGCCTCCTCTCGGCTTCTTACTTCTAGCTGACTCTTCCCCGACCATCTCTGTCCCAGTGCAGACAGGATATTTCCGTAAGGCTTATGACCTTTCCTGACACCACTACCCTCAGTGCTTGAAGGTGCCGGATGCCTCCATGCTGCTCCTACCACACCTGGCACCCACCTTCATCATCTCACTTACATGCTGTTTATACGATTCCTCGATCTGTCTGTCTACCCTTCTATTGTAACTTAAGAAGCTTGAGAGCAGGAGTATGTGCTAGTCTCCCTTCTATCCTCGGAGCCCAGCAGCGAACCTGACACAGGTGCATGCTTGGTAAATGCTGGCTGGCACAAAATGTTCAAGGTGTGTGTCTGTGAGTGGTGAGAAAGGGAAGAAGGGAGGGGGAGGGGAGCTTCCTGAAATAAGGGTGGGAGTTGTCCACTCCCTCCAGCCTGATACTCGGAGTGGAGGCAGCTCTACCACAGGAAGAGCTTGGCTGTGCTTGGGTCTGGCATGAGCAAGAGACATAATGGATGAATGCAATTATGCTCCAAAGGTCCAAAGGAAGAGGATGTAACTGCCCCTGACAGATGATAAAGCCAGGCATGGCTCCTCCTGTTATTTTAGAATGCCACGTGACCAGAAAAAAACAAAACAGATCTGAACTGGAAAATGTTCTCTGTCATCTAGAGCCAGCATGCCAAACTCGCAGCCCCATGAATATTTTTGCAGCCCAGCCAATATAACGGCATGTAAGGAACGTTTTAATAAAAATTTCATAATTTAATTTTTACAATATCCTGTTATATGTAATGTTTAATAAGTAACTTCAACGTTTGCTAATGACTGATCACTATAATTGTGTTGCATTCATTTCCCTTACACGCAGGCGCACCATTTCTCTCCACTAATACTAGCAGCCAATATTTTAGCAGCCGATTGCCATGTCATTAATCTTGTATTGACTTGTTTGGTGTTGGCAATAGGAAATCTTTCGATTTCAGAGAACAAGAAAAATAGGTTTTATTTGTGTTATGCTTATTAATTTGTGCAGTTTATTCAGTGTCTGTTAAGTTAATGCTCAAGGAAAAAATTTAACATTTTTAAAAATGTTTATTATTTTATGTTAACAATTACTCATTTACTTCAACATGTCTCTATCGAAATAAACCTACGTTTCTATGAAAATTGAAGCTTTTGTTTTTTTGCAGCCCACATCAACGTAAACCTTGTTTATTTGGTCCATGTTAGCCTCTGAGTTTGACATGCTTGATCGAGAGTGTGCAGGTGCCTCCTGCAAAACCTTAGCCTGCAGCTAGCTACCTCCTACAAGCCTCCCAAGCTACCCGGGGAGGAGCACAGGCTCCAGAACTGAGCAGGCTCTGGGCAAATGCTAACCGAATTCATCAACATTTAGTCTGGATTTTGAGCATTCATTTCAGCATTTGCTAAACATTTTAATTTTGAATTAATTCAATAGTTTTTCTATTACATTTTAAAAAAAAAGTTTAAACCAGTAGGAGATGAAAGAATGAAAGAAATTCCTTAAAGACAGGGAGGCTGTGTGCACTGGCAACAGCAGCCTGGCTCTTGCCTTGGTTAGGGAAGGGGCTTCCTCTGTGGGCCTGGGCTGGATGTTCTGAGCAGGGTATCAGCACCTCTGTCTTGTCTGGGGGGTTCAGAAGCACATAGGCACCAGATGAAGACACCACACAGAACCCACTGCTGACAGAGGCCAGACTACAGGGGACCAGCTCTGCCTAGACTTTCCTGGGCTGTGCCTTTGGACAAGGCCAATCAAGCCCCCTCCGCTGGCTGGGCTGGGGTTCCTTCCTCACTTGGCAGGTCCAGCAGCTCCATCCCTCACCATGACACTGAGCCTTGCCCAATGAGGGTCTTGGAAATATCCTGTTATGGGATAATTAGGTCCCCCTTCCCCAAAGACATATGTTGAAGTCCTAACCCCCTCTACCTCAGAATATGACTGTATTTGTAAATGAGATCTTTAGCCGAAACCGGTTTGGCTCAGTGGATAGAGCGTCGGCCTGCAGACTGAAAGGTTCCGGGTTCGATTCCGGTCAAGGGCATGTACCTTGGTTGTGGGTAAATCTCCAGTAGGGGGTGTGCAAGAGGCAGCTGGTCGATGATTCTCTCTCATCCACGTTTCTAGCTCTCTATCCCTCTCCCTTCCTTTCTGTAAAAATTCAATAAAAAATATATATTTTTAAAAATGAAATCTTTAAAGAGATAATTGAGTAAAAGTGGGGTCATTAGGGTGGGCCCTAATGTGATATGACTGCTGTCTTCATAAGGACCCAGATGGGTACAGACGGAAGATCACAGGAAGGCTCAGGGGGTAGATGGCCATCGAGAAGCCAAGGAAAGAAGGGCCTCAGAAGGAAACCAACCCTACCGATACCGTGATCTTGACTTCTAGCCTTCAGACTTGTGAGAAAATAGAGTTCTGTTCTTTAATCCACCCAGTCTGTGGCACTTTGTTACGGCATTCCCAGCAAGCTAACACATGCCCCGGGATCTTGAACACTCGGCGAGACCATCGGAAGAAGGTACAACTCCTCTCCAGAGCCTTGGGCCTCTGTTCTCATCCATGGGTGCCCCTTCCTCTCAGCTTAAGGGAGACCTCACTTCACATCTTCAAACCTTAACAACGCAGGTAGGGCCAGTTCCTGAGAGTCCTTTATTTTCTTTGTAAGTCAGCGCTGAGGCAGTTGAACCCGGGGAGCGAGATCGCGTAGCAAGGCCAGACTTGGCAGCTGCAAGGACAAAACCCCAGGGTCCCTTGGCCTGACCAGCTGTCAAACTGCATTCAAGGAGCCAAGAGCCTTCAGCCCAGCCCTCTTCTCTTCAAGCCAAGTCAACAACTCCAGCGTGTGCCGGGGGAGGGAGGGGCGGGCAGGGCTGGGCCCCTACCCTCAGCTCACCAGTCATAAGACACTTGCCATCTGGGATCACTTCCCTCCCCTAAGAGCACTTAGGCAGAGAGAGGTTGAGGGACTTTCCCAGAAAAAGTGACCCAGAAATCCCCCATTAGTACACAAACGCCTGCAGATCAAAGAGAGGCTGGCTGGAGGATTACTCTGCTCCAGCTCTCCCCTCCCTGGGGGCCCAGGGTTCTTACTCCTGGAAGTCTGTCAGTGTGACCCCAGAGAATGAAAACCTCTGGGGGCCTCTCTCCCTTTTCTCACATCTTTGTCATAAAGCTGGGCCATTATTTTCCCATAGGAGTTCCTCACACTCTAAGTGAAAGGTGGAGACATCTGTGTGATTCAAAAGAGCCACAGGAGGGGAAGGCAGCACTGACACCAGAGTCCCCACACCCAGCCCAGTCCGCCCCAAGCCTTCTGCGACTCCTTTCTCATTCATTCCCCTGCAGGAGGGGAGCAGCAGGATGCAGTGGAAAGAGTCCAAGCTTTGGAGTCAGATTGACGTGGGTCTAAATCCTGGCTCTACTACTTGGAGCTGAGTTAGTGTTTGACCATGGATAATACATATTAACCTCTTGGGTTACTCTGTAATGGAGATAAGAACAGCTGCCCCACACAGGGCTGGTCAGAGAGCTAGGAGAGAGGAGAGGGTCAAGGCCCCACTCAGGGCCTGGCCAGTAAATAAGCCAAGTGGGCCTCTCCTCTCTCGGAGAACAGGGCCCTACCTGCACTATTCCAGAAGGTGGATTTACCCCCAGATCAAGACCCCTTCTCAGGGCCTGAATGTTGAGATCAGGGGGAAATACATGATTCTGAGAACCTGCCAAATCTCTTGCAGCTGGCCTCCCAATTAGGCAAATCTGGGGGGATAGCTATGGTACACTGTCTCTCTCTAGTGTCTGCCAGAAAGGCTGGGCACCAGGCTCCTACCGCCTGCTCTCAGTCATCCTGCCAGTCTCCCCAGGCAGGCGCTTAGGGACAGTGAGCAGGATTCATGATGATCAAGGCCCCAAGAGTCTAAGCGCAGGCCCCTGGCAGAGAAATCATAGCTGGAGAGATGACTGGAGAGAATCCGAAGGTGGAGGGTGTAGCTGAGGCTGGGCTCTAGAGGCTGGGGAGAGGCAGGCCAGATCCTGACATGTATGAAAGGCTGCAGCCTGGAGCAGGAGGTGTCTGCCTCAGAGGCCCACTGAACTCAGAGGTGGCCTAGAGAGCCGACAGCCTCGTACTTGTGACTCAGAGAAGCCCCCCAATTGCTCCTAGTGGGCCTCACACACACAGAACACCCGGAGATACTGAGAGAAGGTTTCCACACTCAGTGTGTAACCAAGATGCCATGAGATGTGTGTCTTTCCCATGAACACTATTCGCCATTCAACTGTCACTAAGTTTATTTAAATAAACTTAGTGACAGTTGAATGGCGAATAGTGTCTTTCAGTTATACTAAACATGACATTTGAGGACTGGATTTGTGACCCTGAAGTAGCTCTTGAGTTTCCAAAGTGCTCATGAGTAGTAGAGCTTTGTCCCACCTGAAGTCCCCTGAGTCACTGCAGCCCAGATACTAACTAGGGAGCCCCTCCCCCCAGCTTCCCGGGATGGTCTTGGGCTTGCTCTCTGGGCTGAGGGAAACGCTCCCAGGAGGAAGCCTGAGCACCCAGGGCCACCCTGAGGACAGAAGCAAGGGCTGGATCTGGGTTGAACTCCAGGAGGGAGGACAGGCTGGACAGAGGATGGGGCCCTGGGCAGACCTGCTCAACAATGAGAACGGGCTGGCTCTAAGGGCACAGGGTC